TAGAGCCAATCAGCACTGTCCAGACAGAGGTCAGGGGTCCTGCAGTCTCCCAGAGCAGAATGAAAACTCCTCCTACCAGTGCTCGGGCAGACACTGATAGAAGACACAAGACTGCTATATACTGCTAATGAGAAAAGGTATTTAGCAGTTTATATTTACTAAAATAATTGCATTTCCATGTTCTGTGTACTGTGGAAGACCAGATATAGTGAATACAGGGTCCAGGGATTAGTAACACTTTAAATAGGTTTTTAAATAATGGTGATCAAATTGGTAGACATTACAGATTCGTTAACTTTTTGTTTTCCTGAATATTACAGTTATATACAACTACATATGCAAATGTGTTACAACCGTGCTTTGGACATTTGGTTTGGATTTAAAACTAGTTCACTCCCAGGCCATCCTATATAACTTAGAAGAGCTTAACTATGACCTGGTGTGGCCATGGTTTTATTTATTATGCCTGTATCCTTTTGTGCCCATAGGCATCAATTATTGGTTTATTCTTTACATATTTCTCTGATTTCCAAGATACTGGTAGTTTCTTTACCACGCTTTTGAGTTTAAAACCAATTTTTGGCTAGCTCTACTACCTGACAGTATCAAGTAATATCGTTGGGAACAAGGTGTTCTGTATCTGCATCTGCCTATGGGCTAATTTTGTAATATTTAGTTAAGTCAGCATAGTAATCCTTAGATATTGAGTTTGGGAGGGGGCTATTTCTGTCCATTATTGCAACTACTCACAGAGAAAAAAATTAATGCTTTGTCAACGTAGGTATAGGGGTTGATTTGCTAAAACTGGAGAGTGCAAAATCTGGAGCAGCTGTGCATGGTAGCCAATCAGCTATGTCCATGTACACGTAGGCTTTTACTGGAGTTTAGGAGCAGCAGAGTTTAGGGGCAGTTAAACGTTTCTGTTAAATGTTTAGTCCAAAAAACGCTAAACGAGGCAAAAACGCATCTAAACGCTAGCTGCGTGTAGCACTTGGGCATTTATTCATGTAAATTAATAAATGTCCAAGCATTAAACGTGGTACCACGTTTACATGCGTTTTTACTGCGTTTAGCATTTTTCTGCTGCCAGGAGAGCTAACCATCTAGGGGAGTTCATGTGTACTTGAGGCATCAAAACTTGACAAGGCAACCTAGACGCTGATTGGTTTCTATGCAGCGCTGCACCAGATTTTGCATTCTCCAGTTTTAGTAAATCAACCCCATAGCATTAAAGCGGTGGTAAACTGCCAAAACAAATTCTCAAAAAAATGTCCCCTGCAAAATATTAGCATAATGTGGTAGTGTGCATCGCATACATTATGAAACACTTACCTTAGAACGAAGCCCTCCAGTGTCACCACTGACAGGGCTTCCATCTTCACCCAGTCTTCCTTCTGGGGTTCACGGGCTTTGTCTGTTTGACTGGTCAAGCCACGATGATGTCACTCCTGTGCATACACGTGGGAGTCACGGCCACAGCACGGGTCCTTCAGTGGTCCATATAGAGAGCAGTGTGCATGTGTCGGTGACGCCACTGGCTGCTACTATAGAAAATATCTCCTAAATCAGGGGTGGGCAACTGTGGCCCTCCAGCTGTTCTAGAGCTACAAGTCCCATGAGGCATTGCAAAACTGACAGTTACAAACATGACTCCCAAACGCAGAGGCATGATGGGACTTGTAGTTTACCAACAGTTGGAGGGCCACAGTTGCCCACCCCTGTCCTAAATGGTGCACATTTAGGAGATATTTACTGTATTTACAGGTAAGCCTTATCTTACTACTTTAACCATCTATAGAGAGTGTATGGGGGTTATTTACTAAAACTGGAGAGTGAACAATCTGCTGCAGCTCTGTATAGAAACCAATCAGCTTCCAGGTTTTATTGCCAAAACTTAATTGAGCAAGCTGAAGTTAGAAGCTGATTGGCTACCATGCATAACTGCACCAGATTCTGAGTGCTCCAGTTTTATTAAATGTCTTTGTACATGTACCCCCTCTATTGTGAGTGAGTTGAGATAGCAACTCCTGTTGTGTTTCCTAAAAAAAAAAAAAAAAAAATTGCAATATATGTTAATTGTATAGCTTTGCATTATTGATATCTGAAGAAAATGTACCATCACTATTAATAATTATCCTTTTGTATATCTTATATTTATATTTTCCAAAAATCTTAACTGGTTTTAGGTGCTTTTTTTTTTTTTTCTAGCATGACCTTGTAAAAACACAAAAATATGCATGGCTCTGTATTAAGGTATACAGATTGCATATTAGAAATTGTACTTATAGTTTTGGAGAAAGGAATTATGTTGTACTGTAGGTGGTTGGGGAAAGCAGGACTTGCTATTTGAAGTGATATTAAAATGAACCTGTGGCCTTACCGTTCCTGGTTAAATAGCCCCATGTCCACCAAGCAGATGCCTACAGATCACTTCTACAGCTGGGATGGTCAGAGTCTGGCATCCCTCCTCTAAACCCTGTGATGCCATATTGGTCACCAAATACAATGAGTAGACCCACTGACCAAAAGGATTGTGAGGTTGGAGGCCAAAGTGCTGCCATGATAGCTCTGGTTACTGTTGGCATATCAGTGCCCTGTGGAAAGTCGCCCCTGGAAGACATCTGATGATGAAACGCGTAGGACAGTGTTCAGATGTGACGTCACCATGCACATTGTGATCATGCTCACAGCTCAGAGCTTCTGGCCAGAGGAGACATTGCCTATGATTAAAGTGGAAGCGAACCTTGTTTTTCATGTTTTACCTACAGGTAAGCCTTTAGTAAGGTAAATATCTCCTAAACGTGCACCGTCCATTGAGAGAGCCATGCCGTGGCTAAAACTCCTCCCGGGTGCATGTGCAGGATGACGTCATTGGCAGCCCGACCAGTCAAACTGCTGCTGCCTACAAACCTGGGAGGAAGACCGGGTGAAGATGGAAGCCTGAAAGCGCTCCGCTGGAGGGCTTCATTTTCAGGTAAGTCTTTCATAATGTGCTAGCATGCAATGTATATTAGCACATTATTCTCTTATCTTGCAGGGAGAGGTTTTTATAATCTTTTTTTTTTTTGTTTTTGTGGTTTACTACCACTTTAAGCCTGTATACTTGTTTCAGTGGAGACACAATAAATGTGAGTGTTATGTTTGCTTTTAACAATATAAAATATTTTGGGATGGTTATATGCTATGAGAGACTCCTCTCTTCCATCTTTTTTGCTTATGAGTTACAAATACATGGAACAGTTTTCTTGAATGAACTTTGGATGGAAGCTGGGGATTGTGATTCTGAGAGTGGTGTGCACTAATTGCTGGTTTATAGTTTTACCAGCACTGGGCTCTGGTGAGATTACCCAGTACGTAAGGTGGTGGAGAGCACTTTATTTTGGTGATTAATAGAAGAATATAAGAGCACTTGGATAGTTCATGTTGAACACATGGGACTTACATGAATAAAAACTCTTTTGGATTTGATCGTTTCTTTATTTTTTTTTATATGGGGTGATACATTTTTGCAGTTTTTTGTATATGCACATTAATCTTTATTGTATGAATTTCTACTTTTTGCACAGCACCAAGCACTTTACTGTGTTATATATGCATGAGCTTTTTGATTGTATGAATTCTTATATAGTCATTCATATTTTTTTGCACAGCACTAAGCGCTTTATTGTGTTTTATATAGGTTGTTTTTTTTTGCATAGGGATAGATGTATTTATAGAGTTAATACTTAGGTGTAGGGTGGGTAGATTGCACTTTATTGATAGGATAATATTCATTTTCATAATATTCTATGGTATTGAATAGGGTTTTCTAATCAGCGCTATCTTTTTATATTAGATATTATTATTTTGATTTTTAATTTTGCCTTAGCATACTCTTTAAAGCAGAATTACGCTGCATCTGAGCACCATAAATCAAAAACACTATTTCATTCATTTTTATTATTCAAAGCAAACTCACCCATCCATCCATGTCTCCTTGCTTCATTTTGCAAAGAAATCACTTTGAAAAACACCTTCCTAGCATTTCTGGCCGTGGCCATCTTGAGTAAGGGCAGAATCATGTAGCAGTTACTTCCTGGAATCCATCTGCCCTTAGTTCAGGCAAGCAGGCTGTAGGGTGTGCTTGCCCCCCTGTAGTGACATCACTGTAGGAAAGTATATCATATTTACTTGTTTTATACTGTTTGCTACATTTCTTCAGTTACTTCCTCATTTCTATGCTTAGGCAAATTATGTCGCTAGAGGGGGGCAAGGGAGGGGGGGGGGCAATTGCCCCCTCTAGGTTATTCCTTGAAATCTCTGACCATATCCTGTATCATGTCTGCAGGCTCTGACCATCGCTTATATCGTGTCTGCAGTCTCTGACCATCTCCTGTAGTATGCCTGTAGTCTCTGACCATCTCCTGTAGTATGCCTGTAGTCTCTGACCATCTCCTGTAGTATGCCTGCAGTCTCTGATGTTGGGTGTTGCTGTATTAGGTAAAACTATTAGAATAGTTTTTTACATTTTAAGATGGGGTGACCAGAGACTGCGGACATATTACAGGAGATGACCAGAGACTGCAGAGGTATTACAGGAGATGACCAGAGACTGCGGACATAGTAAAAGAGATGACCAGAGATTGCGGACATAGTACAGGAGATGACCAGAGACTGCCGACATAGTACAGGAGATGACCAGAGACTGCGGACATAGTACAGGAGATGACCACAGACTGCGGACACAGTACAGGAGATGACCAGAGACTGCGGACACAGTACAGGGGATGACCAGAGACTGCGGACATAGTACAGGGGATGACCAGAGACTGCGGACACAGTACAGGAGATGACCAGAGACTGCGGACATACTACAGGAGATGACCAGAGACTGCGGACACAGTACAGGAGATGACCAGAGACTGCGGACATACTACAGGAGATGACCAGAGAATGTGGACATAGTACAGGAGACGACCAGAGGCTGCAGACGTAGTACAGGAGATGACTAGAGACTGCAGACATAGTACAGGGGATGACCAGAGACTGTGGACACAGTACAGGGGATGACCAGAGACTGTGGACACAGTACAGGGGATGACCAGAGACTGCGGACACAGTACAGGAGATGACCAGAGACTGTGGACACACTACAAGAGATGACCAGAGACTGCGGACATACTACAGGAGATGACCAGAGACTGCGGACATACTACAGGAGATGACCAGAGACTGCGGACATACTACAGGAGATGACCAGAGAATGTGGACATACGGCAGGAGATGACCAGAGACTGCGGACATAGCACAAGAGATGACCAGAGACTGCATAGTACTTGAGATGACCAGAGAATGTGGACATACTACAGGAGATGACCAGAGACTGCGGACATAGTAGAGGTGATGACCAGAGACTGCGGACATAGTACAGGAGATGACCAGAGACTGTGGACACAGTACAGGAGATGACCAGAGACTGCGGACACAGTACAGGAGATGACCAGAGACTGTGGACACAGTACAGGAGATGACCAGAGACTGTGGACACAGTTTGGAGATGACCAGAGACTGCGGACATAGTACAGGACATTACAGAGACTGTGGACACAGTACAGGAGATGACCAGAGACTGTGGACATAGTACATTAGATGACCAGAGACTGCAGACCTGTAGCAAACACGGGACAGGTCTGCAAGATCGCTGGTACATGCTTTCCAGGCTTCTGTAGACAAAAACCTGCATAAAAATGCATTTATTATTTTTGTCCAAAAGTTGAACTTCTCCTTTAAGACGGCTGGTCATAGCACTGTAGGCATCTTTGTGTGGCCTGTGCATTGCATTTTAATTATACAGCCTTTTATCTCAGAAGTAGCACTTTAGACAGCAGATATCCTGCAGGCATCATTAGACCTCCTCTGTGGCCTGGTCCTTGTAATCTCCTTTTGGCACTAAAGTAACCTGACCCTATTTTATTGTGTGCCTCTCTTCCCTTCCTCCTTTGTCACAAGAACCCAACATTTTGTGATGTCTTTTAGCAGTTCTTCAGCTCTGATAAGAAGAGAAGATGGCATTGTGGTTAATGGTAGAAGGACAGCTGTCTCCCTGACACAGCAGCAGCTGCTAGAGAATGCCTTTCTGAACAATAGGCTTACAATGCAGTTTAACATCTGCTGAGCGTTAATCCTGAAGGGTTTGTGTCAAGTCAATTTTTAGCCTTTTTAAGGGAGATGAAATTACCTGTGCTACTAAGGGAAAGCCTCCCGTTGATCCTACAGCTAATATTGCACCATTTTAGCAGCGAGCCACTCTGTCCTTTTTGTTTTCTATATCTTTCTTATTATTTAGTCCACCATTACTTAGCCAGGCAAAAACAAATCTGAGAAATACTGAGGCTGAGCCAATACAACAATAGCCAAAGAGTTAAACTGCCCAAATACCAATCAAAATTCAGCTACTTCAGCAGGAATGGCCAAATTTCCATCAGTGTGTGTCTGTCTGTCTGTGCTTGACAGGAGTTGATCATTTGATTCCCATCCGATATAAGGACATGCTGGATCTGTGTGGATGGAGGAATCTGTTAGTGTTTTTTTTTAATTTGGTTTATCCCGCTGGGTGAATGTGAAAAAATGACCCGACTATGACCAGCTTTACAATGGTATTTTGTGTTTCCAGCCTCCTACACAAATACTACATCTGCCACACTTCAAAGAACATCCATTGAAGCACATCTAAACAACAAATTTGAATGATATTTAATTTGCAAAAAGCACTATATATAATAAAAATGTGCCATGTTTTAGTTTAATCAAACAGGTTTTACTTCATTTTCATCCTTTATGCATGTTAGCTCTGTTGAGCTCCTGCAGCCTTTTTCCATCCATAGGAATTCCAGCTTCCTCTGCAGATCATTTCTCAGGATGGCTCTATTGATAGACCAAACCAGTGTAGTGTAAAAAGACACTAGCTTCCATTAGAGTCTTGTGTGACAACAGAGGAGCATAAAGCCCCTTTCACATGAGTGTTCCAATTGGGTCCGCTTGTCCATTTTCCAGGCAAACCTGAATGGAACCTCCATTCTCCACCATGGAGCGGCAGGTGTAAATGGACATGTGTCCGCTTATACCCTTCCCTACATCCAATCCAATCCACCAAAAAAGGACAGATGGGGATCCGTTACCCTTCTGTCAAGCGGATTGGATGGCAGTCAGGTGTAAATGGACAGCAGCTCCGTTTACATCCAACCACCCATAGAGGAGAGTGGGCTGTGTCCATGTCCGATCTGGATAAGCAGTGGGGACATGGACCTGTCATCCATCTGTTCATCAATCAGACAGCAGACATTTTCCTTGCTGGACAAGCGGATCGCCGGCGGAGTATGAAAGGAGCCTAACTGTGGAACAGGACAGAGTATTGTCACTCTATAGGTGTCAAACTGGCGGCCCTCCAGCTTCGCAACAGCTGGAGGACCGCCAGTTTGACACCCCTGCTCTATAGCAAGATCACCCTTTGGGCCTCAGGCACACATACAGCTGGAGGCTGCAAAGTCACTCCTGGGGAGCTGCAAGTGGCTGTGTCTCCACACTTGTGTAAAGCCAGCTCTAGATGGATCAAAATTTGGCTGGTTCAGGAGGGACCAGCCAAACTTCCATCCATTTATGGGCAGGCTGGTCGTACAGAAGTCTCTGATTGACTTCTGTACAACCAGCCTGTTGTGCTTTTTTGCCTGTTCAGTGCTGCGACTAAAGCCTGAACACTGATAATTGTATTCTGCCTGGACACAATAGCATATGGGAGTGAATCCACCACGACTGTGTGGATGGGGGAATTGCCACATTTCTTATTTGCTGGTCACATTTAAATGGCCTGCCTAAATGGCGTCATCTGCATCGGGTGTTTACCCACACATGTACTCATAGCATTTTTCCTTTTGGGAAAAAAACCCCTACCCTATATACTCATGCACAGGTAAACACAGATATAGAAGCCCTATTGGCGATTACGGATGTGTACAGCCATTCACTTGTATGGGCGGCTGTACTTGGCACCTGCGGCTCCCCTGTCTCAGGAAAGCACCAGGGGATTTTACAGTACAGGATTTTGCGGCCTCAAGAAATGTGTGCACGAGGCCTTATCGTTTCAGTAAAAGGTGCAGATCTAAGAACTACATCATGTTTAAATTTATATCAGAGGTCAGGAACAGGGATGACATATTTTAAAGGAAACTTGTGATAAGAGAAGTATGTAGGCGGCCATTGCTGACATCTGCTTCTGTGAATGCTTGTTCCCTGGTTGTTATTCTGATGTAATGGCTTCAGTATCTTCAAAAAACACTAAAACGATGACAGTAGAACAGGTTTCTGCCCTCACACTGATAGAATAGCATAAACTGGTCATATTATGTTTGTTACTATGGTATGAATACTTGATTGTAAGCTCCACTTGCAGTCTATTTTCCTGAAGTGTCAGAAATCTGAGACAATTGGGCTGTGTAGGGGTTAAAGAGGAAATCCTCTAATCATTGCCTTTTTATGTTAAATGGCATCATAAGCCTAATGAAGTTTAAAGAAAAAAAATGTGAAACTTCTTTACTGTTTATTGGGTCCAGATGCTTCTAGCAGTCACATAGCACCTCAGTATGCCATTACTTCTACCTACTCAGCTTACTGTAGATGAGCAGATCTGAATGAACACAAAATGAAGCGCTGCCCCCAGGAACCAGCAGGAGCATTCCTTCATGTGTCATGTAAGGATGGTGGGGGTGGATATACACAGCACACAACCTACTGACTCATAATGATTAGAAAACAGGGTGGACAAAGAGAAATTCTGATTGTTTGGGTTAGAATGGGGATCTCCAATTTTTACAGTAAGAGGGACTATATCATCCATTTTATAAATATTTGGGGGCTGAAAAACAAATCAGTTTTTATAAACGAATATGGTCCTCTTTACATCAGGGTCCCCATCAGGGATGATGACACTTCAGCAGGGGGGAACATGCACTGGAGATTGTGGGGGTTATGCAGTAAAAGTGGAGACCATAGGCAGCATCTGTCTGACCTGAATGCTCAGTCTGGGCACATTGAGGGTATGCCACTGACCCTAGCTGTGGGCCAGATTTTTGTACGGGGCTGGATATGGCCCCTGGGCTGTAGTTTGGAGACCCCGGTCTAGAAGATCAGCTGATTTGCACACATAACAGCCAGAGAACTAGCAAATGAGAGGTCAGCTATTGTGGCCTGCATAATTCTCCTATGACAGGCGTACATTGAGTACAGTGGTCTCCAGCATGCCGGTAATATTTTTTTTTCAGACTTTTTTTGTTCCTGTAGTGGAAAGGATAATGGCAACACTGTATAAAGCGTTTGACACAGTTCCCCACACATGGCTAATGTGTAGGTAAAGTCTCCAGGCTTGTAAAAATCTGTATGTAAATGGATAGAAAACTGGCTAAAAGATCATATTCAGAGAGTAGTGGTTAATGATTCATACTCTGAATGGTCTGGGGTCATCAGTGGTGTACCCCAAGGTTCAGTGTTGGGACCCTTACTTTTTAATATATTTATAAATGATATACGGTCTGGGATTATAAATACCATTTCAGTCTTTGCAGATGACACCAAGCTGTGCAGTGGAATAATGTCCTCACAGGATGTCTTCAATTTACAAGCTGATCGCAATGCACTGTTTAATTGGGCAACTATGTGGCAAATGAGGTTTAAAGTTGATAAATGTAAGGTTATGCACTTGGGGGCTAAGAATATGCATGCATCATACAGGGGGAGTACAACTGGGGGAATCAATGGTGGAGAAGGATCTGGGAGTTCTGGTAGATCACAAGCTTAATAATGGCATGCAATGCCAAGCTGCGGTTTCTAAAGCGAGCAAAATCCTCTCTTGTATTAAAGAGGTTTAGACTCCAGAGAGAGAGATATCATATTACCCCTGTACAAATCATTAGTAAGACCTCATCTGGAATATGCAGTTCAGTTTTGGGCACCAATTCACAAAAAGAATATTAGGGAACTGGAGAAAGTATAGAGAAGGGCAACTAAACTGAGAACTCCTAGATTGCAAGCTCAAAAGAGCAGGGCCCTCGAACCCCTTGTGTATTGTATTGTACTGTATTGTCTCATGTTCTGTCCCCCTTGCTATTGTACAGCGCTGAGCAAACCCTTTGGCGCTATATAAATACTGTATTATAATAATAATAATAATAATAAGAGGCATGGAGGAGATCAGCTACGAGGAAAGATTAGAGGAACTGAATTTATTCTCTCTTGAGAAGAGGAGATTAAGGGGGGATATGATCAACATGTATAAATACATCAGTGGTTCATATAGTGAACTCAGTGTAGAGCTATTCAACCTGAGGTCATCACAGAGGACAAGGGGGCACTCTTTTATCTGGAGGAAAAGAGATTTAATCTCCAAACACAGAAAGGTTTTTTCACTGTAAGAGTTGGGAAAATGTGGAATAGACTCCCTCAACAGCTTGTTCTGGCCAGCTCAGTGGATTGCTTTAAAAGAGACCTGGATTCTTGGATACACAGAATATAACTGAATACTAACATTTATAGGTAAAGTTGATCCAGGGAATATCCGATTGCCTCTCTGGGGATCAGGA